CAGAACTGTTGAGGAATGCGCAGATAATTTGATAAACCCCGAAATAAATAGCGTCTCAAACAGTCAAACTATACTGAATAATTTAAGGATTAGGAGTTTGAATATGAGTCGCGCTTGGACTCTTTTGGATCAAAGGATAGGGAATTGACGGAATGGTTCCGTCTATATTGATTATCGAAAATTATCCATACAAGATAATTTATATGCGTTAGAAACACTGACCCATCTCGTAACGATAATTTAGAATTTTCCCAAAGGATAATGACGTTTAAAGCAAAACAATTATTACTTTCTTGGAATATTTCAAGAATGCTCGGCCGGAATATGTTCTTAAAAATTCTAATTATTATTATTATTTTGTTTATTTTTTTAAATCTTATCCATTTCAAGGCAGTTAATATACTTGATAATAGACTTATCCATCCCTAGTCAATAGCTTCACACAATCTACGGAAAAAAACACAAAGTGCATGCGTTGTAATAATGATTAATGAGTATATTGATTTTTTTTAAAAAAAAAAAAATGTAAGTGAGATTTTATTTTTTTATTTAAAATTTTTAAGTACTTTTTAAATAATTGTACTCCCTCCTATTTTTATTATTAATACAGAGCTCGTGTGATGCACGATGTGCACAATTTTAAGGTCATTTATCCAGCTTTATAATTATATAAGTGAATACGGGATATATATAGTACATGACTTGTGCGAGACACGTGATATATTTATTTGGGGATTATTATACTATAAGATGCAATATTCAACAAATGTTTTACAATACATGAAAATAAATATAAATAATGTAAATATCTAAATACATACACGATATGTAGAATAAATAAGTCAAATTGCAAATCTGAAAATATAATTAAAAAATCGAAAATATATTTCACTAAAGATGTAAAAAAAATATGTAAATACATACACGAAAAAAATATATTAAAATATACGTTTCAAATTTCGAAATTAAAACAAAAATTAAAATAATTCAAATAATTTATTTGAGATTTGTAATTTATAATGAGTAGAGTAGATATATATTGTTGTTAATATTTTTATTAGAAAATCTGAATCTGAATTTACAGAAATCGATTAGAACAAAATCAGAACAATTTCACAATTAGATAATAAATTAAATAATAAATAAAGTCTTTTCTAATTTAGTAAAGATTTTACGTACATTTTTTTTACTTATCGGATATTATGAGATTTTTTTGTTAAACCAATTTTATGGGATATAATACAGATACAATTAGAGGATTAAATAAAATCAGAATAGTTCCATATACAATTAGATAATAAGAAGGAATTAGATAAGGAATTTTGAATTTGTTTTTTTTTTTTAGTATAGATAGACTTTACGTACAAATTTTGACTTCACGAATTCTATGGGATTTGTTTTGACAAAATCGATGTTAATATGGAATAAGACAGACAAATAAAACCTTTTTTAGTTTAGTAAAGATTTTACGTCTTTTTTTTTACTTATCAGATGGTATGAGATTTTTTTTTCTTAAACTGATTTTATGGGATATAAGACAAATAAATCAAATAATTAAATAAAATTCTGGATAAAAATAACAATGCATTAATTACGTTGACTTTTCAACCTACTAAATTTGGTAAATATGATACCTTATTAAATAAGTATAGATTTGTCATTTTGAGAAGCAACACGCTAATTAATAATTTTTTTTCTTGCCAATATTAACCCTATTTAATGGATGTTATGGAAAACTATGAAGATAGAATATGAAGAGACACTGTGCATTTATGGAGGGTTAAAAATGGAAAAATATGAACAAAATAGTCAAAACGACATTTATTTAATCAATGAGCCATTAAACCAAAGTGACAAATAATAAAAATAGGAGAGATTATTATTTATATAAAAATTAGGTTTTTCAATTGTAGGCTTGTCTATATTTATAATTATTTTATTAATTTATATGTAACGAATTTATAAATTAATTTCTTAGTTGATATATAATTTTATTAAATTTTAGTTAATATTAATAGATGATTTAGTTTTATGATAAATAAAAATAAAATTATTTATTTATATATGCAGCATGAATATCAAATCAAAAGATGATTACTTTGGTATATTATATATGAAAAATATATATAATAAATACAAAATTTATTAAATTATAAGTGTACCTGTAATTTAAATAAGTTAGTACAATATTTTATAATTCAGAAATAATAGATACATATTTAATATATTTAAAAAAAAAAGTTATTATTTTAAATATTAAAATTTTATTTTAGATATATATATATTTTTTTTAAGAATATGCTGCTTTGCTTTAAAAAGTATGACCGTACCATTAGCCTTATTTGTGTAAAAGTTAAAATGTGAACAAATTCACCGCAAACAATGATCCTCGTATATAATGCAGTCGATCGGCTCTCACGAATTAGAAAAAATATTATAGTATAAGATGGACAAGTCATATAAGTGATCTCATCTTAAATATAAATAATAATTCATTTATTTTTCATTTTTTAAATTTAAATAAAAAAAAACTGTTATCTTATATGTCCTGTAAAAATTTCGATTGTAACTAGCACGCGCGTAGTCTCGGGTGTTGTCTTAGTTTTTTTTATTATTTTTTAATCAAATGACAATTATATTAAAAACTCAAAAAGCGAGTACAATTCCCGTGATGCCAATTGATATCACCACAATCAAAATAAAGTTTGGATCAATCTCGCCGTTAAAATTACACAATCAACCAAGTAGAGTAACACGAACACCGAATACACTCCTACAGAAGGAGACAAAAAGCTTCATAAAGGAGACTAAAAAATCAGATACAAGTGGACTTGACTCTAACAACTGAATTCATCCACTTTTTCTAACAAATTCGTTGATGTCACACCACAAACACTCAGAGACCACTAGCACTCAGACAGAACGGTCACTTCCATCACGACCAACGCCATTGAATAATCAAGTTGTTGTTCCGACAAAACATCGTCGAAAAAGGTGGCGAGGTGAACGCCGCCATTGCTGGCTCCTACTCATAGTCGGTAAGGTGTGGCGAGCCGCCTGAGACAGTTAGAAAAGAGTGGGGGAGCCCGGGGAGCAATGAAATATTTTTAGAGGGGGATGCGTGTTTGTTGTTTAGTTGAGAAATGAAATAAATCCAAGAAAATTATCATCTTTTTATTCTTGCCTTATTTTGATGCTAGATTTATAGAAAATTGGAAACATATTATCTTCTCCATCTTCATACTTTTTTTTTTATTTTTATTTTTTGGGTTTAATAGGACAAATTTAGGACCATCATATAAAAAGATTGCATACTTTTCATATATCTATGTCTATTCTTTTCATTTTCCCACTTGTATTGGACTCTTTGTCTACTGTATAGTGGTAGGGAAATAACTCTTTTCCGAGTTGGAATCTACATAATTTAATAAGCGGGTTTGCTGCCTCACGCTTCCCATTTGAGGGATAAAAAGATGCTCTAAATGTCAAATATATAATTTTCACTATATATTTAATTTATTAGTCCTATAATATGTATTATTTGCTGCCATACGATTCCCATTTGAGGGATAAAAAAGATGCTCTAAATGTCAAATATATTCTTTCCCATTATATATTTAATTTAATTTATTAGTCCTATTAATGTATTATTTTTCTAGTCTTACTTTATTGACCAATTATAGAATTATCAAATACTACTCAAATCTTACCATACATGATTTGATAAAAACGACAAAACATTTGAGCCAAATAGATTACCATTGACCCTCTAGCCTATGCATTAGCTTCTAGTGGTTTCTAATAATGCCTCGAATTCTTGTGTTTCAAAATAGTTCATATAGATGTTAACTTATAGCATTTTGGATTTTAAATTATAAGACACTTAAGTAGTTGAAATTATAAATAAAATTTAAAAGGTAAATCGACCATGAAGACTCTCGGCCTCCAATAGGCTCCACGCTCGACCGTCACATAATTTTACTAGATGTCACAACCCACCAGTAAATCGACCAGTCCGACCATTGCGGCTTCCCCAAATCTTTCAACAAAGATTCCCAATGGAGAGCCACACCATCTCTTTTTACCAGATCCTTCATCCTATCGAACAGCACGAACGCACCAGGGGTACGGCCGTTGCGCGTGCAGTAAGAAATCAACACGTTCCAAACAAGGTTGTCCATGTGAGGCATTTCCTCAAACACCTTGTACGCACTGCCACCTTCCTGCAGGCATGAGTACAAATCCATCAACATGGTCATCAAGTGGCCATCGGAGAAAAACCCATCTTTCCATAGCCTGACCTGAATTTGAGCCTCGCCACGCATAGACTCGATTTGGGAGCAGCACTTGACGTCCTCGGTCAAGTGTTCCTCAGCCACATGTTCCTCAACATAAAAAATAGACAGACCCTCATATTTGGTCGACTCTTTCTCATGAAAAGGAGGCAAACTTTCATATTCGGTCGACCATGCGTCATCAAAAGAGGCGGACCCACTTATTCGGTCCACCATTGCTCATTCTCAAGGGCCCCTGAAAATTCGGGGATCTTGACCAAGAACAATGTCATCCAACACCGATCATCAGCAAACCGACCCTCTTCCCGAGCCTCCATCGTACCGAATGAATATATCTCAGAGACGGTGTCTGCAAGATCATCATCATCGAAGAACAACAAAGGCGATCGGGAGCAGGGCGATCTGCAAGTACCCCAACTGCATCCACTACGAACCCCCCGTGGCAGGCACGTTCTCCGTCCAGCTCGCGGTTCCTACGACCGTCGTGAGCAGCAGCTTGTTGAGCTAGTCTGATCTCCTCGACCACCGTGGTCAGATCCGCGAGTTGGTGTCCCAACGCCTCTTTTTGGCGCCACAATACCTCGATCATGGCGTCTCGCCTATCGTATGTGACATCGTTATGTTTGGGCAGTATCGATAGAAATCATAGTGGTCTACTAATAGCAACTGACGTAACGAAAGCATAAACGAACGGGTGAATCAGGAGCAAACTCTCATTATATTTTATGTCAATCAAAACTCAACTCCCTTCAAACAAAAGAAGAGGAGTCTTAAATAGATATCCTAACAACCCTAATGAAATAACTTATCTACAAAGAAAATGACTAGGATAAATATATTTTCTATAATTAATTATCTTTCCTACCAAATGTAAAACTAATAATAATAAAATAACTTCTCTACCAAGTAATAGACTAGAATGATTAAATATCTTAATTAATAACAAAATAAAAGAATAAATAATTAAACTAATGATGTCAAATGATCATACTTGTCCAAAAAAGCCAACACAATCCCGTCCCCATCACTAAGCTTGGGGGCATCGGGCCTCGGGTGCTACTCGATTAATTATTGTTCGCCTCCGAGACTAAACTTGGCAAAATTGGGGTGATGGGATGATAATGAAATCAGTGCTCGTAGACTAGTCGATATTGATATGGGATACCATACAAGGTCGACTTGACCTGAGAAACCATCCAATTGGACTGGATGAACCGGTAGGTCGACCTGAGATAAAAAAAACTGGAGATTGAAGAGTCAGCATGTCGATGGTGACGCCGCGTACAAAAAGGATTATCAACAGGTCGAGTTAGGGCCCTTTGTTGGCTGGGAAAAAACTCGATCTGAAGGTATGCAGGTCGCTAGATCAACTTGAAAGACAAAACACTAGAGCTCAATGGAAGACAATCTACCTCGAAAGAAGTCAGGTTGGTCGCACGATTAGACCGTCTAAAAAGACATACTAATGGATAAGAAGAAATATAAATAAAATAAAAATTACACGTGGACTGGAGTACATGGCCTAACAGAGTTGGGCAGTTCGGCTACCTCGACAGTACGAACAAGTAGTTCAGGAAATTGGGCAGCTCATCGGGATAGTCTTGGGCAACAATGTAACTCCCCTATATAAAGAAGTGAGGTAGTCTTCAACGATTGACTCGGTGACCCGACAGTTGAACTGGTGACATGTCCGAATCGATTATCGGGCCGATTTTAAAAACTATACCTGAACCCAACCCATTTACTTTGAGTTGTAGGCTAATGCTTGAACTCCCCTACACCGACATCCCCCAATCCTTACCCCAAAAACCCTGCAACGATAGAAAAGCTCAAAACCTAACCTACACAGACTTCAATATGTTAACAATACCCAGCGACCCTCGCATCACTGTGCAAGAAGATTATTAATCTGTAAACAGCCAAACACAGGCACTTCTCCTGCATAAATGTTGAAACTATCGAGAATGATATCTCTTCTCAATCTCAGCTCATCTCTTTCCACCACAACTGCCGCAGTTCCTTTCTCCCATTACTTGCATTCCCAGCGCTCCGTTATTCTACCGGCCGCCACAAAGCTTAAACCCCTAAAGAACCCTAATTTTCTATCTGCTGCAGCTGTGATAAGTTCTATTGCTAATCGCTCCAAACCCCCTAATTCGGCTCACAGTCGTGGATTGTGCACTGAGGGCGTGGCCTCTGGCGAGATTCACGTCATTGTGGGACCCATGTTCGCCGGGAAGACCACCACTCTTCTGAAGAGAATGAAGGCTGAGAGCAGCAATGGCAGGTACGAGGGAATTTTGCTTATTAGCTAGTGCGGGTTGCTAATTCATTTTCTGTAATGAAATGCCTTTATAGCAAAGTGCAAAATCCGGTTATACTGTCTAATGTTGAGAATGTATATTGCATTTTATGTTTATGTAGAATGTAAATTGTTTGTATAGAAAGACACGGTTTTGATTGACGTTAGTCCTTGAGAGTGCTAAAAGTAGAGTTTGCACATGGATTCATAAATTGGGTTTCAATGCCCTTTGGTTCAACAGTTGGATGCTGTTATGAGCTTTACATTATCGCGATTGAGACTTTCCCAGATTTCAGGGCGACCCCAGAAAGAAATCCTGCCATCTGGACCAAACGTTAAAGGATCTTTGTTTCATGGGGAGAATTAAAGAAGCTGTTGGAATATTGTGCTGTACCGGTGTGCAAGTACTTCAGGAGACCTATTCTCTCCTCTTGCAAGAATGCATTTTAAAGAAGCATTACAAAACCGGCAGAAGAATTCACTGGCAAATGGTGGTTGTTGGATTTATTCCCGATAAGTATCTGAAGATAAAGCTTTTGATCTTGTATGCAAAAGCAGGTGATTTGGATTCAGCCCACATTCTATTCGGCACATTGGTAACTAAAAGCGTAATCCCATGGAATGCGCTAATTGCAGGATATGTGCAGAAGGGCCTGGAGCAGTTAGGCTTGGTTCTCTATCAAAGAATGAGACAGTGTGGTTTGATGCCAGATCAGTATACATTTGCATCTGTATTTAGAGCTTGTTCATCTCTAGCCTACCTGGAACAGGGTAAACAAGCCCATGCCCTACTAATCAAGAGTCAAATTAATAGGAACATCGTAGTAATTAGTGCTCTCTTGGATATGTATTTCAAATGCAGTAGCCCTTACGACGGGCTTAAAGTGTTTAACAAGTCATCAGAAAGGAATGTCATAACGTGGACTTCGTTGATATCTGGGTATGGTCTGCAGGGAAGAGTGTCCGAGGTTTTGGATTTTTTCCAGCAGATGATAAACGAAGGCTTCAAGCCAAACCAAATCACGTTTCTTGCCGTTCTATCTGCGTGCAGCCATGGGGGACTTGTGGATGAAGGGCGGGAATATCTTTTGTCAATGACAAGAGATTTTGGTGTCAAGCCGAGGGGAAAGCACTACGCGGTCATGGTTGATATTTTGGGACGTGCTGGTAGATTAAAGGAGGCCTACGATTTTGTCCAGATGTCTCCGTATAAGGACCACCCGGCTGTATGGGGCGCCTTGCTTGGCGCGTGTAGATTACATGGGAACGTGGACATGATAAAGCTTGCTGCAAAGAACTTTTTCGAGTTGGATCCGGATAATGCAGGAAAGTATGTTGTCCTATCTAATGCGTATGCGGCTTTTGGTTTGTGGAAAAATGTTGCTGAGATTAGGATAGTGATGAAGGGATCGGGGATTAAAAAGGAGCCTGGGTATAGCATGATAGAGGTACAAATGAAGGCCCATTTCTTCTTTATGGGACATAACGCTCATGAACAAACTGGGCTAATACATGAGTGGATTAGGGACTTGACCATTGCATTGAAAGATACTGATGATGCTCCGGACTTCAGCATCAATTGGTAGTAAAACTGTTGTCTGGCCCTGTGGGTTTTCCATGTTTATTGGTCTATAAAGTTGAGGATTTCAATTTGGCTATATTCTTTTTAGCTGGTGAGAATGGTCATCAGTGGGTGTGGCGTGAAAATGTCAGGTGGATCTGATTCCACCCTTTAATTTTGCAACCCAGCAGTTTCGACTCCTGGCCATCAGTTTTAGCATGTCTATGACTGTCTATGTGCAATCAGGTAAGAAGCTGAACTGCTGAAGTGAAGTGTTTCTGATAGTGGCAGATGTTGCATAATTTCTAGGCCAGCCAAATGCCTCCGTTTTGGTTAATATTGAAGGATTGCTAGTTTGGATTAGAATATGGATAATTAGCTTATGGATGTTTTTATGAGCTATTTGCCGGCTTTCACTTTTAAGACTTGAGAGTGTAGGCTTGTAGCCAAAATCTGTCAAGCTTAGACAAGCATGTCCGATCCGGCTTGGAGGTCTCCTGTTTTTCTTTTTGGTCTCGGGAAGTTGACAACTCTTTTTCTTTGTTTTTATAATGTTTAAATCAAACGTTAATGGCTTGTGATTTTGCAGAAGTGTGGCAATAATAAAATCAAACAAGGATGCTAGGTATGGGTTGGACTCTATCGTAACGCACGATGGGGAAAAGTTACCCTGCCTACCATTAGCCGATTTGTCGTCATTCCGAGAAAATCTGGGTGCTGAAGAGTATGCTAAGGTGTTTATCTCGATTGTAATTCATTTATTTTCCACCCTATAGTTATGCTCATGTAGGTGTACGTCCTATCTCATTTTTGCTTAGTGATAGATATACGTGCTTATATTTTGTTGCGGCTCTTGATGACAGCTACAAGTGATTGGTATTGATGAAGCTCAGTTTTTTGGGGATCTATATGACTTCTGCAGCAAAGCCGCTGATCATGATGGCAAGACTGTAATAGTTGCTGGTTTGGATGGTGATTATTTGAGGTACCATTTCACTTCTGTTTTCTCTGTGTTTCTTGAGTTCTTGCTTGAAATTGTTTCACTTGGATTAGATGGAGTTTGATTGTGATTTGTGAGCATATCCCTCCCTATATATTAATTCAAAACGTGTTGAGCCTAGGTGACAGATTTTCACGCTTCTGATGCTGACATGGCGAAAATCTATGCTTCGTGATGTTGTTTTTATATTATTTTTGCTCTGGAGTTAGGTTTGGTATTAGACATAAATAACTTCACACATATATTCATTAAGTCAACACCCATGTTGTACATGGGTATTACTTATTAGTACTAGTAAGCTCATGTAAATAGGAAAAGGTAAACAACTTATATATGCTTTTTCCAGAAAAGGCTGTTAAAATTCTTAAAAACATGCCCTCATATGCTATTTTGAACTTTGACTTCAGTTATTTATTTATTTAATTGTGAGTATTCGATTACTTCAGGTTTATTCTTTATATTGATTTTACTCTCTTGCTTCCTCACTGGCAGGAGGAGCTTTGGTTCAGTACTCGACTTAATCCCCATTGCCGATTCGGTTGTCAAGTTAAACGCCAAATGTGAAGTATGTGGGAAACGCGCATTCTTTACTTTGAGGAAGACGGATGAGATTAGAACAGAAGTTATTGCTGGGGCTGATGTGTACATGCCCGTTTGCAGAAAACACTATGTAAGTGGACAAGTGGTTAAAGAGGCTACTAAGGCCGTCCTCGAGTCTAACAGCGTGCAGATTAGCGCAGTTTTGTAGATGTTATTGGCGGCTTTTTTTTATCAAATATGGGCATTTGTGGATTTAACCGAAAGATCGGCGTGTACTTAAGACGGTTTGTTACTATAGCCAGGGCGATCAAATTGTGTAAGGATCGAGATTTAATGGTATATTATTATTTCTTAGTATTTTTTGCTTGACAAGATCCAAGAGAAAGTGTTTTTTCTTAATCTTCCTTGTGAAAGAAAACTGAAAACTAGAGAAAAATTGCTTGAAATGTGATTGATCCTGATCCATTTACTAATGTTTTTATGTTTTCGTAAAGTAATCTAAAAAAAATAAAAAATAAAAAAATAAAAAAATAAAAAAGGTTAAAATCCTATATGCTAAAACTGGCAAGAGTAATGAATAAAAAAGTTTAATTATATGCTTTCATTGAGAGTCGAACTCAAGACCTCCCGCTTACTAAACGGGTGCTCTAACCAACTGAGCTATGAAAGCTTGAT